TTGGTAGGATGTTTTGAATAGCCACAAATAAAATTTGTTACATCAACACATGACAATCATAAGACTTTAACCAACTAACTTCAACTTTTGCATAGACAAAAGATTCTTAACATTTGAAGAGTATCCTTGTGACACTTTCACCCAACGTAAACACTCATAAAAACTTTTCTTTTCTTTCTTTGATAAAGTATGACAAGCTGGAGGTAAGTAAGTGTATTTTCCAACTGAATGTGGATGTAACTCGAAACGTATGCCCATGTCTGCCAAATCTTGTTAGGATTTTATTTCATCTTTTATCTTTCCTTTTATGTTAAGCAATATCTTAATTATATTATCACAAATAATTTTTTCAACATGCATCACATTTATATAGTATCTAACTTTTAGCTTACACCAATAAGAAAAATTGAAGAATATAGACTATTTCTTCCAAATATTTTTTTCATTGGACTTCTTTTGCATCTTTTCAAACACAATATTAATATTTTTCACCTGCTTATATACTTGTTCATCATTACGTAGTACTGATGCAACTTCATTCTCTTGACATCCATTAAATGCTTTCTTCATTTTACGGAATGAATGATTAACAACTAGGAACTTTCGATGCCTAGTGTACGCAGTTTTTTATCCATGTTTCAATTGGATATAACTTGTGTCTTCTTAACATAAAGGGCACACATAATGATTATTCACACTATAACTGCTCAAATTACCATATACTAAAAAACCATTTATTATGCAAAATATCATTTCACCCAACCAAAAATTGACTTTGTGGTATGCCACAAAGACCTCTACTCTTATTTCATACAACAACTTCAAATCATCAATCAAAGAACTAAGATATACATCTATGTCATTCATGATTTTCGAGGTTTTGAAATCATCATAGACAACATAATATATTTTCTCTTCATGCATAACCAAGGAGACAAATTGTAAATGATCAACAAAATTGATCATGAACTATATTTACTACTTAAATTCTCATAAAGATTCATTCCATATGTAGTTAATCCAATTCTCAAGTTTCTTCACTCCACACCAAATTTTGGAAATGTTTCATCAATCCTCTTCTATTGTGGAAAATCAGCTGGATGTCGAAGAAGATTGTCACATTTTCTACCATTCGCATATCATGTCAAGTTTCTTGCATCTTCTTTTATGAAAAATCATCTTTTAAACCTAGGTGTTATTGATAAATATCATAACACCTTAATAGGGGGCCATCTATTTCTTCTTCACCACTACTTCCATCAACTTTGTTTTTGAACCGCGGCAAACTACATGTCGGACACATCTTTAATGTAGTAAAATCATTTCTATACAATATGCAATCATCAGGGCATGCATGTATCTTCTTGTACTCTAAACCCATTGGACATAGTATTTTCTCTGCCTCATAGTTAAGATTACGTAATGTGTTTTCCTCAGGAAACATCTCCTTCAACAACTCCAATAATTCGATAAAATTTTTATCAATAAATCCATTTCTTGTTTTTAAAATGAACAATCTTAAAGTTGCTGATAATTTTGTAAAACTATATCTTGTGTACAATTATTGATCAAAATCAGATTTCAAAGAATCATACAAATGTGTGTTCTTAAAATTGTATTCACCTATATCATGTATCATATTCTCTAAATAATCATTCATCCCTTATTAAAAAAAATTTGTTGTTGACATAGTTGACATGTCTAGTATTTCTCTATGTCATGTCCATATTATATAACTCTTAACAATATCATAAACAAACAAATGATCACGTAGATCTCCAAGTTTATGAGGAATTTGATTTAAACAATGAATGTATGAACAATAATATGTCCCTTTGATAAATTTTTCATTTTCACGAATAAATTTAAAAAAAAAATCAACTCCCTTTCCGTATTTTTCACTAATATGATGTGCATTCATCCAACTTTTATCCATATCTATTTATGTTATAAATTTTTGTCACTCCTAAAGATTCAAACACAAATTCATATTTAAAAAAAAATTAATATATTCAAACTAAACCGTGAAAACATAAAAATGCGAGTGTATAAACTGTAAATGCACTTAAACGTATAAATGGATAATCACAAACTACAATATTTCAATTTCGAGTAACAATTCGAGTGGAGATATTCATGCAATAACGTGATTAAAATCTCAAAAATAATTACGGATTCAATTTGAATATAAAAGAGAAAAATAGAACACTAACCTCAAATATACAAAAACACTTTAAAACTTGAATTCAATTAAATAAAAACATTGATCATCACAAATGAAATACAATATAAGTATTTTGGTCGTTCATTTGATCGAAATGTAATTGAGAGAAGTTTGAATAGTCGTAATCGTTGTAGTCACTTGAAAATCCTTTGCATGCGAGAAAGAAGAATTCCTAATAAAATTAAAATCCAACTTTTATATCAATTTCTGTGTGATCCGATATCCCTTATTTATAAAAACACACTTATATTTCTTTTAATTGATTACTTTTAAATTCAATGAGAACGTGATGACATAAAAAAATCTATTACATCTTATATCTCAAATATATTAATTATAATATATGAACAAAATACAATATTAACTTAGGTGACACTTGAGTCCCACGTGTATTATATCATCATTTTTTTTAAACTAACCTTTTTATTTTTCCTCCAATGATAATAACATGTTCTTTCTATATACAAATGATTTAGTTTAAGAAAAAATATATTTTCCCTGACAGCATTTTCAATACTAAAATTCCTAGTAAAGCATATATTATTATTATTATTATTATCCGATTTTCATTCTATGTCTAAATTAATTTTTTTCCCTATCTTATATCATAATAACATTTTCTTTCTATACACAAATGATTTAATTTAATAAAAACTACACTTTTCATATTGTCATGGGAGGTTCTTCCCACATTAAACTTAAAAAATGTATGGTTCCTCTAAGAAATGAGAGTATACAATGGCAAAAACAACTTAAGAACACCAGTCTTATGAAAAAAATTTCCCTCAAAAATGGTGTATGACGGTGGTTCCGAGGAGAAAGATCTGGAGGTTCTGGAAAAGTAAACAACTACTCAATGTGTAGTTGGTTCCTTGTCTCTTGGGCTTAGACTTGAACAAAACATAATAAGAAAGTGTAGGAACTTGAAATAGAAAAACATACAGTAACGATAATTTTGAAGTTTCAGTGTTCTTCGCCTATTCACGTGAAATTGGACGGATAAAACAAAGGAAAAAGAAGAAGAAGAAGAAGATCATTTTAAATATTAAACACCAAAAATCTGAAGCATTTCTATATTTGTACAATGTAAATCTGTCATTTCATATTCATATTTTTCTATTCTATTGACATAACATCTTAAACCTTAAATGTTAGACGTTAAATCTTAAATCCTAAAATTTTGTTTAAGGTTTACAAAATGTGAAGATACAAAAAATATTATTTCACTCTCAACTATCCGAACAACTGCTTCCCTTATATACAACACTTACCTTGTAGCCATTAGTCACTGGACAACTGAGGAACTGAAAGTGGATGATCCACGAGCTTGTTGACAGAGCCAATAACAACAATATACAATGGAATCTGGGAATAATCACTTCATTTCAGCAATACATCTTTTATGTTTTTTCTTGCACATATTTTAGGAGATTCATAGATGAGAGATATGTATGGATATAATATTCTTGCACATGAAGCACATACTCAGCCTCCACTTTTAACTCCTCCTTTTTTTTTTTTTTTTTTTCCTTTAACGTAATATATCTATTTTTTCTCTTCATGTCCTCTATTTACATTTGAATATTCTAAATTTACCCATTAGCAACCTTTCCCTTTTGCCCCCTCCCCCTACTCCCATTTTTCTAACTTCAAACTAAAATTTGATTAATTAGCCCGTGAGTCAAAATGGATTCAACTTAGGTTGAACTGGTTAATAAACTTTTAAAAATACTTTGTACTTTGTAAGTCAACGTGATTTAATAGTACTTTAAGAGTTGGTGGGTCCAAGTGATTTAATAGAGTTTTAAGAGTTCGTTTACAATAATTTACAATTTTGTAGTCTAACGAATACACAAGCATAGTGGATCAAAAAGGAAAATGATATTCGAAAAATATTAGTGAATTATCCTACCAAAACCTACAAATCTCTTGAAGAGCATTCATGATAATATAAGTCACATTCAAAATAAAATTAAAAAAAAAAATTAAAAAACATTCATTATTTTTCCTTTTCCCCAAAGTTATCTGAAGTCATTTTTATATTCCATTCTCACTTCTACGTTGTGTTTATCGTCTATGATGAGCATCGTCTTCGATATCTGTCATTCTTTTTTTGCCTTTCGCAAAATTTGGGGAAACTAATTTTAACACAAAATATTTTGAGTTATTAGTTAAATTAATAATGAAACCGAATAATGTTGGTCTGTTTTTACCATCTAGTTAAAAAAAAAAACTATGATCAAAATTGAAAACAAATATATATATATATATATATATATATATATATAATATTTTCTATTAGAAATGCAACACTCTTTAATTCAACTTTAGAAAACTCAGTTTATATCTCAATCATACATTAAAATTTAATTATAATAAATGTAAAATTTTAACGCACCATTTCACATCAATAAAAAATATGAATAATTCAATAACTATTCAATATCAGATTATACGTTCCAATGTTAATAAATTATATAATAGTGTATATAAATAATAAAAATAAATTAATTTATAATTGGTTGGACTTTTTATTAAGAAAACAAATTATCATAATTTGAAAGATAAAAGAATTTTTTATTTAAATATTTATCATCTTATTCGAATCAAATATTAAATTCATAAATATGAATGTTTTCAAAAGATGAAAAAAAAAATAATAATAAGAGAAAGAAATTGTGAATCTGATGCTGAAATCTCTCCCTAACTGAATCTGCTGCTGGTCCGCACTAGTACAGATCATTCTCTTTCCCTGTCACTGTTCCTCACTGTCTTTCTATTGAGCCCCAGACTCTGAGAAGGGGAATTCAGTCAAGGAATCCCCCTTCGATTGTCTCCGTCCTCGTGCCGTCCTCCTTGATGAACCTTCTTTCTCCTCCGACGCCCTCCGAATGGACCCACCATCCTTATCCTTCTCCTTATCCTCCGACGACGTCGTCTTCGACTTCCTGCGGTTCGAAGTTTTCGATCCCGATGCTGTCGGAGGCTTATCGTCATCCGTTGAGTTGCGGTTCGTCTTCCTAGAAGATTCCGAAGAATGATGTCGTCGGCTCGGCTTCGATCCCTCCGTCGGATTCTCCCGGCTCGGAGAGGACTGGTTCTCTGTAGATCGAGGCCTTGACTTTCGGGTTCGCTTCCCTTCACCTTTCGGCTTCTCTGTAGTATCACTATTATTATCTGCACCATCATCATCATCATCATCCTCATTTTCATCATCATCATCATCATCATCTCACATTACTATTTAACCATTCCAATAATATATTATATGAAATTATTAATGATCGAACCTTCAGGTGTGGGCTTGCTTGTGGTTGCTACTGTTCCAGATGAAGCTACTGTTCCAGATGAAGCTACTGCTCCAGATGAAGCTACTGTTCCAGATGAAGCCGCTGTCCCAGATGAAGCCGCTGTCCCAGATGAAGCTTCTGATGATTCTTTGAACTCAGTTAGCTGCACAATTTTACGGTAATTAGTTGAATTCTTACGTAGGAGTTAATTTTGTGGAATTGAAGGAGAGAAAAGGAAAATGTACCCAGCTTGGTTGACTTGCTTTCGCATTTTCAGCTCCAATGTGAGCCAAATGCTTTACGTCTGTTGGGAACCCAATTTCTATTTTGTTTTCATCCTCTTCATCTGCGATCCAATATTTTTTCGTGTGTATACATAACAATAACAATGATAATGAAAATCGAATCTAAGACCTTCTACATCTTTGAATAGAAGAATTTTAAACATATTTGCATGGATGCAGAATAGGAGAGAAGAATGTTATGTATGCATATTTGGTGTTTGTGGTAAGAGGAGCGAAGGATGTGGTTACCAAATATTTGGGATATGTATCGAAGCCCTTTGAGGAGGCCTTTCATCTGGCCTTTTACCTGGCCCTTCACCGCTCCTGAACTCATTATTAAAGCCTTTTGATCTATTTTGGCGTCTAAAAAATTTCACTTCAAATCAATGGAACCAGCTACAAAATTCTGAAACCAGAAACGGATATCTTATTTTTACCATCTAATCATTTCATTCATTTGGCATGAAACGAAGAAATTGTAGAATAGAATAAGCAATTACCTGATCACCTCCAGGACAAATGTTTGTTTCAATGAATCCTGTGTACGATGTCCTCTCGGTGTTGGCAATGAGTACCAAAAGAATGTTCAAGACAGCTTGGGGCAACAAATGTTTTGGAAGTTTTTTCTTTTCTTGGATGTTTGCAATAATGCATCCAATAAAAGAAGAGAGAGACTTCCGGTTGGAAAAACTCAGGAGTGTAAAATGATAGCACCTGATTTTGATCTACCGCCCCCTCTTGGTGGCCAGCCAAATCAAAATCAGTAACTCTAATGGAAGGCCAGACAGGTTTCGGTGTAATTTTCAGCCCCATGCCCTAAATTTGTGATGAATCTTACTACCTATTTTTGGTTCCAATGCAACAATTACGGGTTCAAAAGCATAATCGTGTGGCATTTGTCAATATGGTGAACCTCAATTAAAATAAACTAAACTATTAACATGGATTCAGAGAGCATTGGAGGTTGTTTTTTTTGTGTTGACTTTGACTTTGTTTCTTTGCCCCTGTTACCAAAAAACCAAACAAAGCAAAATCATTGGTAGTTTCCAACTACCATTTTATTCCTATTATAGAAACCTTTATGACTTTTGGTTTCTTCTATCATTAGTTTGTGTTTTACTTGAAATAGTGTAATGAATGAAGGGTGTATTTCATCTAATAACTTAATTAAGTATCCATTTTTATTCCATGCTCCAAATTTGATCATCAAATTTATAAGAATAAATTAAAAGAGTTTGTTTAATAAGTTATTAATGTATGGCCCGTTTAGTTTGAGACTCTTTTCATTTAAAAATTAAAAGAAAAAGTTAGAGTAAATAGATTAAAAACAAAACATTACTGATGCAAATTAAAAAGATAAAAAATGTTTATGTTATGGCTTTACTCTTATTTTTCCTTTTCATCTTATTTAAATTCCTAAAAACTAATAACACTACTTCAAAAAATTTAAACATAACGAACTATAAACTATCAATAACTACAAATTTAAAAATAAAACTTTCAATATTAAAGTAATATTTATGCTCTGAAAAATCAAACGAAACACTTAAAAAATAGTTATTAAAATAAACTGAAAAAACTATAAATGATTGCGTACATGGTCCAATTTTTCATTCCAACATCAACTTTGGTGCATACTTATGTGATAAAAAAATTGGAATGGGTAAAATCGGATCAATGTATTTACTTTATCTTACTTATTATACCCTAAGTAGTTCTAGATGTGGTTCATAATATAATAGAAAAAAAAAAAAATCTTCAAGGCCAACCTCATCGAAAATATATAGGTGGAATTAATCATGAGTTACAGTCAAACAAACACTTAAACTGATCTATATATGAAAATTATCGAATCAGATAAAATTCAATACACAAAGCATAATATGTTTCTAACATGATAAAAAATAAAGTATGAATTTAAGTCTCTTACTAAATAAAAATAAAAAAAAAGTTAAACAATACATAATTTATAACTCATTATCTTAAGATTACCTTAAAATTTTTAGGTTGATAGTGATGATAATTCTTATCAGTTGAGTTCATGTTTTTTTGTTTCTCCGATAAATCTCCCTAAAGATCTTACATGCGTTTTGTTTTATGCTACTCGATCACCTTACTCCTGTCGCAAACTATCAGTCTTTTAGAAATTAACACTCGGCTGCGTTTTTTAAGTTATTTTGGTATTATATGTAGCAATACTGTCGGGAAAGAAGATCAAGGGGATAAGATAAAACGCAACTTTCAAAGCTTCTCCTTCTTTGATTATTTGATAGCATCATGAAAATAAATAGGAGAGATAAAACAAACAGAGATTGACCACCTTCTAAGTTCTTTTTTCTGTAGAAGAAGAGAACATCGTATTTTGTATATTTCCCATTATATCTCTTAATTATTAATCATGCCTATTTAATTTGTAGGATTTTTAATCATCTTTTTTTATTCAAATAAATAAATAGAAAGAACACTTAATTTTTTGTTTTTGTTTTCACATACCAAACAATAAAAAGAAAATCCACTCTGTTTTTCACCATTTTCTTCACGACTACCAAACAAAACTTTTGTTTGGACTAGATATGTAATTTTAACTTAGTTTGTTTCCAAAGCTAATTAACATTTCTACTTTTAAAGTCAATCCAAATTGATCATATACTCTATTTTATCATACTTAAGACCAACAAATTATTACAACTCTTTCAAATATAGGATTGAAATTGAAATAAAAAATATTTTTTTTAAAGTTCAAAAGTAAGAAATTTAATTAAATTTAAATAAGAGTAGAAGGTTTTTATTGTATGAAATTAGAAGTTAAAGACAAAAGGATCTAGATATTTCTTTTATTTTTGAAGAAATGTAATGTTTTACTTACTATGTGAATTAATTTTAACCCATTTTAATGAATTTAATTTATTAAAAAAATGAATGATCAAAAAATAAAATTTAAACATTTTAAGTATTCAAGGACAAAGAACCAAATTTACATAATTTTAAGCAGAAAAAAATATAATCACTTTTTTAAAAATTAAAACAACGTAAACCAAACATAATCCAAACTAAAAATAAAGTGAATTACAAATAAACCTATACCTAATAGTGTGTTTTTAAAATAATAAATTACTCATATATGGGAAACTAGAGTTCAACAAGTTTTTTTTCTAACAAGCGAAATTGTGATTATTCCAATATTCTATGCCACCAAACAAAAACAATGAAATTGCAGAACATGATTGAAGTCATGTTATTGGTCTGGATGCCAACAAATAAACATAAAGTTTAGGGAGGGAACATGGGAGTGAGAATGCAAGAGCCATTCATCAAGAGACTTCTGATCATGAATACATCACTTCATGATGCCTTCATATCATCCAAACCAAAACGAGCCTGCGTCAAAAAAGTAGAGCCTTTAGTTCCTACACCCTTTTAAAACTATTATAGCAAGCTAATATATTCTGCCTTTACTAGAGAAATTTTCTAGATCCGTCATGTATTGTGTGTATGCGTGGCTTAATCCAGAACGTGATATGTGTCCTATTTCAAGCATTCTAGTAATAATGACGATCCATAAAATAGATAAAAAATTCCAAGACATTTACCAGGAACTTGTGATTCCCTTCAAGGAGAGGAGAAAAGTCTTTACAAAATTTATGTATATCAGCACTGATATCACCAGTGCTAGTGCCTTGTATCACCTCCATGAATTTCTTTCTATCAGGAGCAAGCTTCATTGCTACCTGCAAATAGAATTTTTACTATGTTCTAAAAGCATGTTGAATACAATAGACTAGTTCCCCACCTAAAATATAAAAAGTCATTCGCCGAAAGAATATGAAGAAGGACTATAGGCATTACAATGTTAGTTGAACTATAGTATTTATGAATTGTAGGGGTATTTTTAAATTAAATTTAAAAATGCAAATAACGATACTAAAGAGTAAAACAATTTAAATGATAAAGGAGATGCGTAACTAGTTTCGACAAATCTCTCTTTCTCTGTCTATCTATTTATTTATATATTCAAATCTATATATGTTTACAAAGATATATTTAAAATTATTACAGAAAGAGATTATCTTACTTTCAAGAACGTGGACTCTAGTAGTCTAATTTATTACAAAGGGTGGATACACATTACTGACTATACTGTAAATTGTTTTAGTTTAACTATAAAATAAAACTTACTATGCAGAACTAGAATATAGATTTATTATCAAATTTTGATAGCTTCAACGCTGAGAATATCATTCAGGTCATTTCAGCCCATCTAGACCCTGACGTGATAAATTTCAAAACTACTGAAATTTGGATAGTTAAAATTACAAACTTGAATGAATGAATGCGTTTCCCACTGCATTAAAGTATAAAATATTCATGGGATCGGGAGGAAAGATTGTACTAGATGGGTAACACAACGGCCCAAATAGTAAACTTAATGCACTTTCTATGGCAACTCCAGAATATGACACTTTACAAACTTAGGTCAATAAATATGAACAAAGATTTTTCAATAAATTGGTTTTGTTTTCAAGATTATAAGGGAGAGAAAAAGCATCAAAAGAACATTACAGTGAAGCTTGAACTAGCAAGCCAGCCATGCCACTTCTTTAGAGTCTGGTTATAGGAATCTGTGCAGGCTTGTGACATTGACCAATCTGTATGCTCAATTAAGTTTTGGAACAATGCCACCAAGAAATCCATTGCTCTGAAAATTTCACAGGTCAGAGAAATAAATGAATACAAAATTAAAAAGCATGAGAAGTAAATGTAACTAAAATGCATTTCTTGAGGTCTCTGGTTTTAAAATAGAAATTAGTAAACTAGTATAAGTGTGGAGAAATATCCTCCCATTGCTAAGGTTTACAATAGAAGAGCTAAGGGGAAGGTCATTGGATGAAAGGTTCATGATAGCAAACTGCGCAGGCGGGAGGGAATTACGCAGAAAGGACTGATACCCATGTAATTGTCTGTAACATGGCGGCATAGAGGTGAGAATGAAAGTAGCATTCTATTATTGGATGGGGGTAGATATAATGATGAGAACGTTGAGATCAGGCACGAATTAGGTAGTAAGGTGTTGAAGGAAATAGGTCCCTGGAAGAACCGTTGTGCTTTCTTCTTAAGTTTCTCGTACCTATCATTATCACGTTAGCATTTTGAAGGGTAAGCTCAGCATAAAGGCACTTAATAAGCCCAATAAATTAAATAAAAAACAAAAGGCTCTACAATTGAAGCCAGTGAAAAGATCCGTCACTGAGCTAAAAAATAATAAAAGCAATATGATCTTTCCGTATTCCGTAACACCTTAAGAAAGTAACTCAACCAAAACAGGTAAGAAATAAATTCAGGCCTTTGATTTTAGAAGAATAGGCCAGGATCAATTTTTTTTTTATCCACAACTATAGTTACTGGAGAATATCATAGCAAATTTGTGATGATAAACATCCCATGCACGGATGGACACATTGCTGCTCTTCATAGAATCTCTATTAACTGTTCATGTTGCATTTTGGTCCCAAAATTTGGAAACTAAATGTTCTAACACGACTGGCTTCAAGAGATGTATTCCTAAAATCAGTATTTCTGAATTCAAAATTTCATCCATATCTCAATACCTTTTCAATCCTATCACTTTGCTATTGATTGTTTGATTATTCATGGACAAAAGGCTTTGTGCTTGAAACATGACAAATTAAAGAAATAGTTCTGTAAAATAACAGACTTGGGAATTCCATACTCGTATGAATTATAAGTTAAATGGTAGTTGCGTGGTGTTCTTTACCTTGTAAGCCACAGAAGTCCATTGGTACAACTGGATGATGACTTAGCCGTTTTAGTTTCAACCTCAACTTGTACCAAAGAGTACAGGTAATTGAATCTGGTTGGGTTGGAGGCATATTTAGATTCCAATCTCTGCTTTGAAAGTGAACACAGTATAGAGTGAGAACGCATTTCTTTTGAATCAATATTAAAGGTTTGGGTAGGTAGTACATAACAAAAATAAGTTGTAATAACAGTAAGCATAAGCATGTTTATGCAAGCCAGTTGCACATGAAACAGAAAAATGAATCAGCACCCACGTTACACTTATGGCAAAGCCAGATAATCATAACATGCCATCATAAGACAAAATAATATTAGTAATACATATCAACATACAAGAATGCATGTGATAATCCATGTATACAAAATAAAAGAAACAAAGATAGAAACAGGTAACAAAAACCTACCGATATGTTGCCCCCAATGTCAGATTTAACAAGGGCCATAGAAGTTCCAAAGTTATCTGCCATAAGAAAAACATAAGTCCATCTAATCACGATACAAGTATTCATATCAGATTTTCATACACTGGACTCAACCAAACATCAAACTACAACAAACAATATATTTTGCTATACATCTTATGTTTTGAGTTAGATGGTAACATCCTACTTGTACATATTAACATATAAATATAAGTTTTTGATTCTGAAGTGTTCATGATTTTCTTGTTTTTTACTCTTTTGCTTTTAATGAAAACCTTCCTTATAAATGAAAAGGATACATAACTACAGACACTTAACTAACCAAGAAACATGTCAAAATCATACAATGAAACTAAGAGTTTGATGTATATACCAAATTTGATAGGTAATACGGAATCAACTACTTTTTTTTTTCTCCAAATTAGAAATAATAACATACGTTTGGATAATTTTTAAGTGAAATGGAGAAAAGCCAGAGACTAAAAGAGCATAATCCATTATGGAAAAAATCGCTTACATTCATCTTGACTTGCTCAAAGGGAAAAAAAATCCATTAATATCAAGCAAATGTGATGTCTTTGTTCTCTTCACATTGTTTAATATACTGTCGAATATTCAATGGGAATAAAGGACCACCGATGTTCCTCTCTAACAATAAAACACAGTAAACAAAAGAAGAACACTCTGAAAAATCTACACTTAGCATGTTTATCTTCTTTATCTTTGTCTTGCAACGATAAGATTTTTAAGGGGAATAGGAGCTCGTACCGATAACAGGAAGTATATGCTTGCAGGCATCCAAGAAAGGTTGAGTCAGAATTTCTCCTTGCTCCGATTTTACAAGCTTGATTCCTTCCAATGCAGGAGTGAAAACAGTTCCCTCCATTTCGTTGTTTACTACACATAACATGGCCAAAAGCCAATAAATAGATAAGTAAATTTAACAGAGATCAAATAGGCATTTAAGCCAATACTATTAAAATTACATAAATATTTTCCCTTTCTTTTATCTCTATCTGCTAAAGTTTAGAATGTGAAATCAAGTAAAGGAAAACATAAAACTTTCTTCAGAAGCACACATGCACGCTATAGTAAAGTCTGGATTCAACTAAGGAGAATAATGTTAGAAATGTCAAAAAATCACAATTCATACTGATAAAGGGATGCAACATAAGAAAATTTAATGGAAACTGCGCTTACAACGCATCAAAAACTTATAACTTAAGAAAATAATTTGAGGTAATAGTCCCTGTCTTTCATAATGTTTACAACTAAGAACATCTAACTTGTATATGATCATCAGATTTGTTTTGTTCAACACGATTGAACTCCATTTTTGCTAATCACCAAATGCAAATGGAAGACAATAAAACCTGCTGAGATATGTGGAAAGTTCTGAGGCCAGATCAAATAATTAAACTTTACTGAACCAATGTATGATGAAATAAGAACGTCAAATATCGAATCAACACAAATTTCAAAAGCAGGAAAAAATCATCAATTGAATTGAGTGCAGAAGCATCCCAAATCTAATTTCTCAAAAATCTCACAAATTTTCAATTTCATCGGGAAACAGCATAGAGATTGATACATATAAAAGGAAAAATAATTACAATTAAAATAGACATACATTCAACGAGGAAGACCTTGGTGATCTCAGACTGAGAACAACTGCAAGCGCATCACAAAGATCAGTTTTTATTATTATTTTTATTTTGTTTTTTTTTTTAAGGCATTTTGGGATGAGAGCAATTGTAAGAAACACTTGAATTTTCTATCATCAAATTTAAATTAAAAAATAAAAAAAATACTCTTAATGTTTAATTGATCATGGATTTGTCAAAATAATTCAATATAAAATTATAAATTTAAAATAAAACATCTAAGTGAATGAAAGTTAAAATAATTCTTAAAAATAAATAAATAATTTAAATTAAATTTTTAATTTGTCTTTCTTGAACAAATAATTAGTGTTGTCGAACCTATGACGGACTTTTCCAAATTTTCTATAATATAATGATTATATATATATATATAATTTATAAAATATATTTTATATAAATGTTTAAAAAATTTATTTTGAATTGATATATAATTTAATTGTAGTTTATGAAAATTTTATATATCAATTCAAAATTAAAACTTGAAAAATAAAATAAAATATATATATATATATATATATATATATAATTTTAATTTATAAAAAAATATTATTATTCTCTAAAATGTAGATGTATGTACCTATATAAATTTGATTGACGAATTTTCATGTGTTTCTTGATCTGATTACCATTGTATGTATATGGACGAAACTAAACTACTGAAGTCTCTCTTTCTTTCAAATTTACTTCATGTTTGTATGTGTAAATTACATGAATTTAAACCATTCATACGGAGGATGGATAAATATAACTCAACTTTATCATATTTTTTAAATAAAAAGTTCATATATTTTGATAAATTTTAAATATGATATAAATTACATTTTAAAAATATAATTTATGGATAATAAAGAAAAAAATATAATTTAGATATTAGTTATTTTAACATTATAATATTTTAAAATTTATACTACAAATGTTCAAATTATATTAATAAGTGATGAAAACTTTCTGTGAGCTGTGTAAATGTGGGAGAGTTTGTTCCATTGAGAATTAAATATTAAAAACAAAAAGGATAATATTAGGTTTGGGCCTAGAGTTGCACTGAGACCCATGTTTACGAGGAACGGTAGAGTCGGAGGCCCATGTCAAGGTGGATCCGAGGTTCTTTTATAAAACTACCCCAACTTGCAATCGTAGAACCCTAGTTAGAGTGTTTCACCCACCGTCTTTGCCTCCCTGCAATCCATAGCCGAAAATGGTGATTCCGCTTCCTCTATTTTCCACTCCGCTCATTTTCTCTCTTTTACATTCTCACGTTTTCTAAGTTTTAATCTAACCAAATTGTGTTTTCTGTCTTCTGTGCGCAGCCTTTCAAGAGGTACGTCGAGATCGGGAGGATTGCTCTCGTCAACTACGGCAAGGAATATGGCAAGCTCGTCGTCATCGTTGACGTCATTGACCAGAACAGAGTAACCCACCACCACCACCCAAGTTTTTACTTTTTTTTTTTTTCACTTTTATTCGCATCCATTTAATTGGTTTCTTAGAATTAGTTGTTGCTTTTTTTTTTTAATAGGCACTTGTCGATGCCCCTGACATGGTCAGATCCCAAGTCAATTTCAAAAGGCTTTCCCTAACCGATATTAAGATTGATATCAAGAGAGTCCCAAAGAAAAAAGATCTTGTTAAAGCCATGGAGGCTGCTGGTTTGTTTTTTATGTTTAAATATTTATCATTTATTTATTTTTCTTTAGTATTATTAGGTTGTAATGGAAAATGTTTGTGTTTCCTGATGATGAGTAGATGTTAAGAACAAGTGGGAGAACAGCTCATGGGGCAGGAAACTCATTGTCAGAAAGAGAAGAGCAGCCCTCAGTGACTTCGATAGGTTCAAGTTAATGTTGGCCAAGATTAAGGTATAATTTTATGCTCTTTAATACCCTTGTTGCGCATGGTGGAACTAAATTATATTTATATTTATGGTAATATTTGGATTTTTAAATTCGTGCAGAGAGCAGCTGTGGTAAGGCAAGAGCTCTCTAAGCTGAAAAAGAGTGCTTAGGCATTTCTTCACGATATAATGTTCAAGTTCAAATTTTGTTATGATTTGGGTATCATTGAGACACTCGAAAAAAGTTTCATCTTCAGATATTTAATGTTAGTTCTTTATGATAGAACTTGAAAGCTTCTTGGTTTTATAATATTTATGATTGACAATTGTTTTTCCCCTCCATTTCTCACTTTGTTAATTTAGGTTTTGTGATTAGATAGGTTCTGCTTTGTACTACATACAATTAGCCTGTTTCTACACTAACTGCCGTGTGTAGATTAGCCTGTGGGCAGTGCGGTTTTACATGAAGCGGAATTTCTTGATCCATCCTACTGGATTATGTCTTGAACTGGACGTATAATTTGGCGGATGTGCTCTTTTATACATACTTATGGTTTGATTAGCACCCCCTAAAATCCAATTATTATCACATTCAGTTTTCACATTAACCGAGTAATTGTTTAGGTTATCTAGCTTTTTGCACATATCAAGTATAAATTTGTTTGTTGTACCATGTATCAAGTTACTGAAGTGTTTTTAAAAAAACATAGGTTATTGATGAGCCAGGAAGATTAATAAAATAAATAAATTTCCATCATAATCAAGAATTTCCATCATAACCAAGCGTCGAATTTTGTATGTCTATTTGTATAGTTGAATGCGATGTTTTCCCATATTTGTCTCTGCCTTTTTATAGTGCTGTAAGCCATTCTGTGTAATTTTTTGTTTATACTTAGTAAACGATCCATTTATTTCACTTAATTACAATGAATCACCGCAATTTTTTTATATCTTCATTTAATTCCGACGGAATACCCTAGGTTAGGATGTATGTTTAGCTTTTTTTTCTTTCTCTTTTCCATGAAATCTACTATTCTATGAGGTGTAGTATATTGAAAGAAGCATTGAAAATCTTTTATTGGTTAATGAAAGACGGGCTACTCTTTAGATTAGGATAAGGAGAATGATCAAATATTTCATTTGGATTGAAGAGAAAACTGATTTAGTTTTTATAAGTTTTCTTATATTCGCAAGGATAAAATATTTTTACTCTAGAAATAATTTTACTCTAGAAAATAATTTAATTTATAAGTGGATTTAACTAAAAATACATATTCATCTGTCATCTGTCATTTTCCAATTATTTTTTATCTATTAGAAATGATTTTGAATAAAAAGATAATAAAGATATTGATTAAAAAATACTGAAAAATTTATTAAAAATAATAAAAATTAATACTTATAACAAAATTACCTATCTTATTTACTGAAATCGTGGACCAAGTCTCAATAGTAACCACCATTCTTACTTTCTTTAATTTTCTGAATTAGATTTACTCATGGACCAAGACTCAATATTGGAGCCTCCATTTTGTCTAGCTTTACAAATTTACTTCTAACTTTATACAAAGTCGTAATAAAGGATGAGTTCAAAATTCCTTCAATCGGGGAAGTAAATACTCTTTTATAATGTTGAAGTGGTCTTTCTCACAAATATTTTCATGTGAATTTGCTACATTACATTAACACCTACCTAAACATGTGAATTTCTCATAATTGGATCACACGCATCAGTCCAATTGGTGAAATGCTGTTAAGAGTCTTTTCATTCTCTTATCCATAATTGAAGCCAATAATTTCATTCCCTCTAATGTGCATTAGAACAAAATACTCGGGCCACGAAATATGCATGGTGCAAAATTTCCAAAAGCGCTTTTACAGATCCTTATCCTTTCCTTCAAAGGAAAAATAGAGAATGTATTTATTACAAAATAGCCATATATTAACAAATTCCTTACGTAACATAGTATCTCTTCATGAATGGGCCCATGCTGAAATAATCATGGAAGAACATCCGAAGAGGTGTAAGAGTCCGCCAAATCTCCATGAAGAAGTTTGAATGAGCTTTAGCCTCAATATTGGATGGAAATATACAGAGAAATCAACGTGTAGATATCTCAAACGAAAGTATCAGCACAACTAAGACCCTTGACACAATAAATCTGCTGATTACAGAGCTCTTCATTTCCGTTTTCCTGTGCCAAGTGACAGGAGTTCAAAGCTCCTGAGGGTATCATCACGACCACCTCCTTAGGGTATCATTACTGTTTCAATCGAAGGGTCCTTAGGTCATGGATGAATAATTGGATTAAAAGTTTGGTTAATGGTTTAAATTATTTGACAAATGTGGATTTTTTTTGATAAATAATATTATTTTTAAAAATATTTTCTAAAATAGTACCTCTGTAACATTATTTATCTAACTAACATTATTTATTATTTACGATACTTTCGCTCAAGCGAAAAATCTATCGTTTGAGCGAACAAGAGAACGAAACTGTTGACCTCCCAATTGAAGTTGTTGATCCTTTTAGTGAGGACGAAGACGAAGATGAAATTCTCAGCCAATAATAAGATGATTCAGAGGACAAACAACCACATATCCCTACACATGCACCAAACTTCATGGAACCATACAACTCATCACAACATTTTCTTAACTTTGAAAGTCACATTCAACAACAAGACCCAGAGTATGACCATGCGTTGGGCAGATAATTTTTTGTTTATCCGACAGTAACTCTATTTCTTAGACAACGTTTCATAACAAAAGAACAAGTTCAATATGTCATTAACAGCTTTCACATTTTCAATCACTGCACATACAAGGTGAAAATTTCAAATCAAAGTAGTTATGTTGTTGAATGTGTTGATAACCAATGCAGTTGGAGATGTCGAGCAATATTGCGCACAAAAGAGCAATATTGGGAGCTTATGAAGCTTGAAGGGCACCATATATGCGTTTCGTCATTAATCAGCCAAGACCACAACAAGTTGGGATATAAAATAATTTCCCAAACAATTGGTCAAATAATTGATGCTGATCCGTTAATACCAATCTCCACAATCATAGCCTACATCCAATTAACAACGGGTTACACTATAACATACAAGAAGGTTTGGTTGGCCAAACAAAAGGCAGTGGAGACCATCTACGACAATTGGGAGGATTCGTATAAGAAGTTGCCTTGTTTCTTACAAGCCATGCAACAATTTGTTCCCGGATTCATCTACAAACTGCAGTCACAACTAGCTTATCAAGGTGAGGTCCTTCAATAAAATTCAAATATTTTTAAGCGTGTGTTTTGGATGTTTAGGCCATTCATAGATGAATTTGTTCACTACAAGCCCATTGTTTAAGTGGACGAAACTTTTCTATACGAAAAGTATAAAGGTACCTTGTTAATTGCAGTAGCACAAGATGGCCGCAACAACATCTTCCCCATTACGTTTGCAGTGGTAGAAGTTGAAACAAGTGATGCCTAATTTTTTTTCTTAAAAAACCTCCAAAGATATGTCATACCCCAACAAGGATTATGTCTCATAACAGACCGACATGAATCCATTAGAAGTGTTGTTGAATTATTGGCAAACGTACCAAAATTATCAATCGCAGTATAGTATTTCGATTAAATAAAAGTCGATCCCACGAGGAACAGTTTCAATGGAAATTCCCAATTATGCTTACTAAGTGGATTAAAACATATTGAGTTTTGCAATAAGAGTTGAATTGAAATTAAATGACAAAGAACTGTAAATTGTTGAGAAAATATCAATTAAAGGCACTTAGGATTGACTTCCTTCTTTATCCTTCTTTTGTAATGACTATGTCAATTAAGAACGTCAATTAACCTAACAATGTTGATGTCACCTACTCAAATCATCCATGTTGATTCCTCACATATGAAATTCATAAGAAAACCTAATAAATGTTGATTCCTCACACAATTAAGAAAATTTCCAGCATTAGGTTTAGGGTGTTAAGCAAATGATACATTCATTCCATTCCTGATAATTAACGTAACAAATATTCTTACCGTGATCTAGGGTTCAAGATATATTTTCCAATCATACCCCAAACATCAAGAATAAATCATTCCAAAGCACAAAAGATAAGAATAACAACATCAAAACATAGATTAATATCTCAAAATATCACCATGATACAAAAGAGTTCAAAGGAAGTGCACCCAATCCCAAGAGAATGAAATTAGACACTCATGTTGGCCATTACAATGCTTCAAATGTGGAAGAAGTGAAGAATTGATGAAGATTGGACGAAACCCTAGCAGTAGTCGCGCTTCTTCTCCTCTAAAACTGTTTGCTTTCTCAAAACACATCTTATCTTTTTATAAGAGAATTTGGGTCGGGCCTCGCATCATTCATTCGCTTAAGTGTTCTTCTTTCTTTCAATTTTTCTCTAATTATGCTGACAATTATGCTCCTTACTCTTGTATCAAGGTATTCTCGAATTCATCCTATATTGGGAGAAAAATAGATTAGAATTAACATAAGTTAAATGGTTTCATAACAATTTAAGGCATAATTATATCAACTTTTTACCACTTAACAACTCTCCCAACCTAGAATCTTGTTTGTCCCAAGCAAAGTAATTTTTCCAAAACAAAACCATCGCCTATTATCACTTTCTCTTCCAGAACCACAACATAAAAATTTTCAAAGGTGATGCTCATAATTCCAAATGAAAATAGAACATATAAGCATTCAATTTACAGAAACCAACAAAGAATAATTAGTCCTCAACTATCCTCAGAGAAACATGATCTCTCAAATAGAGTTATATATACTAATCTTTAATTCTCACAGGTAAGTGTTTATCTCATTCAATCATTTCATTTAGACAATCCAATATTGATAATCATCTTCAAGCAATCAACATTTGTTAAGAAAGACTTAAATCAAAAGGTCTTTTGAGGCTTGTAATGGGGCTGCGCTAAGAAAGAATTATTGATTTTTCTGGGCTATACAAAAATATTTGAGAAATTCAACTCATATGGATGATTCTTGATTAACAATTTCTCAAGTCAGGTTTCAAAATTCATATTTTTGTCCCTAACACAATGATAATGAGTTAATGATCTCACAAGTTATTATTCCCCCATTTAACTACTTTTCTATATTTTTTTCTCATGCTTTTGCATGTATTCTTT